AGAGGCTGCCAGCACACAGTCCTGCTTCTCAGGGGAGGCTTAGTCAGGAGAGACACAGGCACCAGGCAAGCCCGCTGGGTGTATGCTGGCCAGTGGGGGCAGGGGGCTCGGCCGGCCACTTCAGGCTAGCATGTAGTCAGGGACTGGCTCCAGAGCTGAGACCAGAGGAGGGAGGCTGCTGTCACCCAGTGGGTGGCTCCAGAGGCCATGAGCAGAGATGGCTGCACCCCAGCATGGGCCCCGGAGAGCCAAGAACACCATGGTGTGGCTTTGGTGCACTTGACCCACTACCAGACTCTAGGTTGGGTGAGTGCAAGGCTGAGGCAGGGATGGCAGATGTCCCTCAAGAATTAAATTCGATTTGCACTAAAGTCATACCTAGTTCATGATCCCAAATTAGCCCCCTGAAGGGGGCCAGGAAGCCAGCCCGGAGGTGCTGAGAGTCAATGAGAGGGGAAGGTCCCCGGGCGTGAAGCAGGCTTTGGGGAAGCGGCAGAACGTGAGCCAGCTGGCAGGTGCCTGTGGCCATCCTGCCCAGTCAGGTTGTCCCCCTCGTGTGTGAGATCCCCCTCACCCTGGTGAGAACCCCTGCAATAGGGACTGGCCCACCGGGAAGAGATGAAGGAGGTGGAGAAGGAGCTCCCCTTCGGGGGCCCTAGACCACACTGCGGCCCAAGCCAAGTCCCGGTCAGGAAGTCTACAGTCCCAACCCTCACCCAGCCCTACGAAGGGTCCTATCCAGGGACTGCCAGGCCCTCCCCTCCCAAGGCCTTGATTTCCCTTCGGCTGAGTGAGAAGTTGGAGTGGGGCCAGGAATCCTGCAGGGATCCTTGAGGGGGTTTGAAGACGGGGAGGGCCCAGTGGAAAAGGTTATGAGAGCTTCCGCGTGCCTTCTCCCCAAAGCCCCTGCAGACATCTCAACACCCGCCCGTCAGGAGGGAAGAGACCCCCAGCCAGGGCCTAGAGTACAGAGGGAGGCTGGGGCTTGGGGCCTGTGAGAAGGGACTGAGCGGCTGGGGGGAGGGCTGATCTCCACCCAGAGAAGGAAGTTGTCCTCCCGATCTGCAGACCGGGTGTGGCAAGGCCCCACACGCTTCAGGGTTGCCCCGAATAGGGGGCCGCTCTTGACAACCGCCCGTTCAAATAAGCCTCCCTCTGTGCCCCTGCTGCCCTCCGGCTCCTGCCCTCTTTTGCAGCCTGGGCCTGGCCCGCAGCTGGGTGCAGGGCGGCTGAAGCTGGAGGCCGGAGTCCCCTACCCCCGAACTGTGGGGAGGGGACACCTGCTTTGAAGTCCGGAAGGGCAGCAGGGCTCCACGCACACGGTAGCGCCCACGGCTGCGGCGAGGGTATGCTGCTGGGGGCCCACAGACCAGAGGCCCCAGTCTGTCCTGGATGAGAGTGGGACAGGCTCCATCCCCAAGGGAGGAGGCAGAGGAGAGGGACACTGCAGAGGCTGGACCTGCCGCGCCAGGGTCCAGCGCCCCCACAGCCTCCAAAGGGCTGAAGAGGTTGAGACCGGGTGGACCACCTGCAGCCCCGGAAAGGCAAAGGAGCCTCGTTCTGGGACAGGAGCGAGGCCTCCTTTAGGGCAGGAGAGGTGGCGGGATAAGCCCTGCTCCGGGACCTGGTAGGAGGGTCATTTAATCACCCCAATCCCAGGCCAGGCCGCCCCAGCTTGGACTGATGCCGTGGGGCCGGCCCCCACAAGGGCGGGCGCAGGAGAGCGGGTCAGGGACCCGGCCTAGCGGAGGCGGGAGGCGGGACGGGGCGGGGGCAGTCTTGGATGAGCTGGGCGGGGCCGGGACGGAGGCGGGGCCTGGCCAAGCTGAGGGCGGGGCCGGGGCGAGGCGGGGGCGGGGGCGGGGCGAGGCCTGGTCGGGCGGGTGTTGGGGTCTGGCCAGGAGGGGGCGGGGCCTGGCCGGAGCCGGGGGGTGCCCCCGCCCTCCGTGACGCGAGCGCGGCGCCGCGATCCAAGCCGGCGCGTCCGCGCGTGCGCACCGCGCGCGCTTCGGTCGCTGAGCGGCCCTCGGCGGTCTCCTCTGCAAATGGGCTCCGTGGCCTAGTGTCCCCGTCCCCGCCACCTGTGGTCGCGCGCCGAGGCCCGCGAGGGGTCGCCGCCGAGGTGAGGCCCCTGGCGGCGCGTGAGTGGGGTCATGCGGCCCGAGGGGGCGGGGGGATGACCCCGGGCGCCGCGGCTGGCGGGACCCACCGGCCGGCGGACGGAAGGTCGGACGGCCGGGGGCGCGGGGTGGGGGCGGCCGCGCGGGCGGGACCCGCGCCTCCTGGAGCCCCAGGCCCGCGGCCCGGCGCACAAAGCGCCTTTGTTGCGGCCGGTGCGAGCCAGTTCGCGCCGCCCGGACCCCGCCCGGACCCGCGCCGCCGCCGCGGCTGGCGCTCCGGGAACCACCCCATCGGGTCCATCTGGCCCGCGGCCTTGACCTCGGCGTCTGGATGGGGGCGGGTCGGCCCGAGGGTGGAACGCCCTTCCCGAGGGGCGGCGGGTGACCGGAGTGGCGCCCCGACCCCTGCGTGCGCAGGTTTCCACCAGCCCACAGGCGACGGTATGGCCGCCATCCCCTCCAGCGGCTCGCTCGTGGCCACCCACGACTACTACCGGCGTGAGTAAGCCCCTCACCCTCTGCCCTACAGGCCTCCTCTGGGAGCGGGGAGGGCTGCTAGGGACCTGTGGCTCTGCCTGGGTGCTGCCAGCCAGGCCGGCGCTTGGTGGACAGGGCAGGGGTCGCGGTGCCCCGCGGAGCTGACCGGGGCCTCTCTTCTCCAGGCCGCCTGGGCTCCACGTCCAGTAACAGCTCCTGCGGAAGTGTGGAGTGCGCTGGGGAAGCCATCCCTCACCCCCCGGGTGAGTGCAGGTCCACTCCCCCTGGTGGCACCATCTGGGCGGGATCCCACCAGGAGCGGGCAGCAGCACCATGACTCCACTTTGTTCCTCTCAGGTCTCCCCAAGGCCGACCCGGGCCACTGGTGGGCAAGCTTTTTCTTCGGGAAGTCCACCGTCCCGTTCATGGCTACAGTGTTGGAGTCCCCAGAACGGTGAGAACACGTTCCTGGGGGCCAGCACGGGAGATGGGGGCAGGTGGAAGTCGCCTCTGACCACAAGTTCTCCCCCAGCTCGGAGCCTCCCCAGGCCTCCAGCGGCACCATCACCAGCGACTCAGCTCTGGAAGCCGTGAGGAAGCAGCCTGGTGGCCGGCCTGGCAAAGCCAACGTGGGGCCGCCATCCTGAGGGCCGAGGCCGGGCTTGGGGAGGTGCTGCGCTCATCAGAGCCCCTCTCCTTCCCTCCCCCCCTTCCTATAGACCAGGCCGGCTGCTGCAGGCAGAAGCAGTCGGGTTGTTTTATATCAAAATAGCAAAACACCAAAAAGGAAGTTGAGAGAATCCCACTCTTCACTGTCCAAGCCACACGCAAACCTTCCACACGCCCTGGAACCCTGTGCCTCGCACCATGTGGAAAATAAACTCCAAGCAGCCAGTAGCCCTGATGGTGTGTGTGAGCTGCGTGCCCTGGGAGCCCTTCCCCACCTCACTTCCTGGCGGGGCGGGAAGTTGGTCTGGCCCAGGTTCACGCGGGCAAGCTGCTTTGGCGAGTGCGGAGTGCGGATGGGGAGGGTTCCCCCAGAGCCTGGGAGCACAGGCAGTTCCGGGGGCCGAGGAGAAGCCTCCAGGGCAGCTGCTGAGGTTCAGGTCCTCAGACTTGGCCCCTGCCACTGGGTTCAGGAGCCCCCAGTGAGAGGGACCTAGTGCTCCCCCCAACTCTTGACACCAGGGAGGGCAGTAAGGGAACAGGACCAAGGCTGTCCCAGCTGGTGTGGAGCAGCCCACTGGGCCATGCTATCTCCAGGTGCCTTCCTAGAACAGTTGTGCCTCTTCCAGCCCGTTGTAGGACAAATTCTGGTCAGCCCCCCACTCCCCCGGACACAGGGACCAGAAATTAATACCGAGTGGTAAGGGGTGTGGGGGCATTCCAGAGGGACTGTCTCACCAGAGGTAACCCAGTTCTGGACAGACCAACCAGGGACCTGGGGAGGCTGTGGTTGTGCCATTCTCCACCCACCTCCTCGGGCAGGCATGCTTAGTGGGCTGACAGTGTCCACACTCGGTTAGTGGCCAGCAGGGCTTGACCCAGGTCTGGTGGTTAGGGAAAGGGGGCTTAGTATGAGGTCAGGGGAGCCCGGCTCCCCTCCTGCTGGTCTTCCCCCGGGCGCGTGCTGTAAACAGCTGTGCAGATCCAGTCCAAGGCATCAGCGGAACTCGTGGGCCCTAGGGCTGCAGCCACCATCCTGTGTGCCACCGTTGTGTCCAGGCAGGAGGATGGGTGGAGGAGGTCCACCTTCCCAACACTCCAGATGGACCCAGAGTGGAGCGGTGCCCCAGAATCTCTCCTGAGCACTAGCCAGCCTCCCCAGTGTCCAGATGAGTCCCTCAGAGCTCATGTGGGCAGCTGCTGATAGCCATGGCTGCAGGCAGGAGACAGCAGTGCCCCACCAGCAAACAGCCCATCTTCACAGAGTGCCGGGAAGTCTGTGTTTCCCCCAAGTGAGGAGATTGGCATGGGCCGGGTGGCATAGGGTGAGCCTAGCCAAAGCCCAGATCCCTCCCATGCACCACCTGAGGAGGTCCTGACTGAGCGGGTGGGCTTTAGTTCAGGAGCAGCAACAGCACCACTCCCTTTAGAAAGGAGGGTCGTCAGGCTTCTGGAGAGTTCAAGTTGGAGTTGACAGTGGCGGGCCCTGGCACTTGGCAGGAGCTGGTGTCTCAAGAGCAGACAGGAGGACGGGCAGCCTCAGCTCCCTGGCTGCAGAGGGCAGGCTTCCTCTGCCCCAGGAGAGGGCGGGCCCCCCAGTGTCCAGCCCAGTTCTGGAACTGTCAGCACCTTCCGTGGGCCTGTCCTCCTGATGGGAGGTCCAGGACGGCACTAGGCCCATCTTCACAGGACCTGGCGAGGTGGCCTTCCTCGGTGGCAGCAGGGAGGCTGTCCCCCTCAGAGCGGGTTCTCGTACCTGCTGACACTGGAGAGCTTCTCCCGCAGGGCTTGGAAGCAGGGCCGGTGCCCGGGGTCCCTGTGCCAGCATGAGAGCGTTAGCTTGTGTGTGGCGGCCGGGCACTCCAGGGGACAGGGCATGCGGTAGCCCAACTCCACCCTCAGGAAGGCCTCGCGGCTGGATGTGCCTTTGGCGGGACGGCCAGAGGGGCTGCAGGGGCTGGAAGCTGGTGCCCAGCGAGCCTCTCCTCGCCTCTAGGACACCACGCTGCCCTCTACCCTCCCAGGAAACCCTGGGCTGAGCTGCCTGCTGCCCCCCTGCGCACGGATGCCCCCGGAGTGCCACCCCCGGGAGACTGGCTGTGCAGGTGCCAAGTCAGGTGATGGCACCCTCCCGCCCTGTCCACCATCGGGGATGCTGTCGGGGGCCCAGTACCTGGATAGGGTATCTGACCCCGACTGAAAGTCTCATGGAGGAGAATCCGGAAGGACCAGACATCAGATCTGACGGAGTAAAGCCCTTGGGAGAGGGTCTCGGGGCGGTCCACTTGCAGGGGATGTTGTGGTCGTGGGAAACGTAGATGTCCTCCTGCAAGCGGACACGCGCTGGGTGGGCCTCGGCAGCTGCCCACACCCCACCCCTGCCCTGGCCATGCGTGGGGAGCTGGGGTTCATGGGGGCCAGTGCAGCTCAGGCACCGATGACCACCACAGTGCCGCTAGAGCGGGTGCAGCTTCCCCTCCGATTCAGGGAGGGGGGCAGGGCAGGGCAGGGCTGGAATGCACATGCTCTGGTCCCCACATGGTATCACAGTCCCGGGGGTGGGCCCGTATGAGCATATGCTCGGTCTGTGACTACCATGGTGGCCCCGTGGGCATGCTAGCTGCTTCACACAGCTGTCCCCAGCTCCCCTGACACGCTTGGACAGTCCAGGGGAATCACGCTCAGCCTGCCTTCCCAGCTGCCACCGAGTGCTGAGGGAATCGCCGTTCTAGAAGCAACCAGCTCACGATGAGGAAGGAACTGCAGCATCAGGACAGCCACCCGGGAGCAAAGGGCCCCAGACGCCTGCTCTCAGAGTCCCTGAGCAGGGGGCACCAGGAACAGCGAGAGAAGCCGTCGAGCCCATGTGACGCTGGTCTGCTCCAGGAGCGAGCCGGTGACTTCAGGGCTTTCAGGAATTTGGAAACAGCTCTAAGGAAGCACGTGATGACTGTAAGAGATCCCCGTTAAGTGTCAAAAATGTGATTGTGGCTGAAATACTGAAGCGTGCACACGGGGACTTGGGTCTAACCGCGTGGAAGGAGTGGAGGCCTACCTGGAGGGTCTGATGGGGACAGAGCACTCAGGACATCATTCTGTCCACTCCTGTCTTCTGTGTGCGGGGCGGGTGGGGAAGATGTCTCCCCTGAGCTCGCAAGGCTCCCCAGCCTCTGCCCCCATCACACAGGCGAGGCAAGCCGCCCAAATCAGTGAGCACAGGCACACCCACCTCCCCAGCCACCCTGCCCATGTGCAGCCTCCCTTTCCTCCTGCAGCCCCTGCGAGGGCAGACGCCTCCCTTCCAGCCTTGGAGCCCTCCGGGAAGCCTCCACTCCCCATCGCGGCAAGCTCTGGCCCCGGAGCCCTGTATCTCGCCCTCCGGCCTCCCCGAGGCTGAAGGCAGGCAAGCCCCGGACACCCCAGCTCCAGGCACAGAGGACGCCCTGCACCCCTGCCTTACACCCTGGGCCCTACCTGGATGAGCCTGGCTAGCCCAAAGTCACCCACTTTGCAGATGTTGTGGGCGCCCACAAGGATGTTCCTGGTGGCCAGGTCCCGGTGGACGTAGTTCTGTGACTGCAGGGAGCACATGCCCTCGGCCACCTGAGAGGCAATGTCCACCAGCTCTGAGACGGGCAAGGACTTCTCGGAGTCTGCGGAGCAGGGGGAGTGTGGTCAGAGGGACTCTGCGTGCCACCGGGCTCAGGCGCCAGGCTGGGCCAGAGGGCCGCTGCCTGATGTCACACTGGACCGGGGGACCTGTCTCAGCCCTTCCAGGAGGCGGTGATGGGTTAGAGCGAGAGTGCAGCTGGCACACTCCCTCCACCCCACGCCCCGTTTCCTTTCTGGGAACCCTCACTAAGGCCATAGGAACTCCTCGAAGCATTGTCTCAGAGCGGAAAACCTCAGAGCGGTTCCACACCAGGTAACTCGCGAAACAGGCACCGCTCGTGGACATGGTCGCAGGCCAGCGGGTGCGCCGTCCTGAAGGACATCTGATGGCGGGGACCCAGCGGCAGTGGTCAGACTTGCCGTAAAAAACGTTCGGTTCCGCGTTCCAAACGTTACCGGGTAAAAATCGCCCGGGCCCACACTTCGTGCAGCATACGCTTCTCGCCCCAGGGCCGCTCCGACACGTAGAACCGCCGCTGACCGCAGCGGTCGCGTTTGGTTTGGGAGGTAAACGAACAGGTCCTGTGACCAGGGTCTGTGAGTCCGTGAGATCCTCCGTGTGTGTGCAGGGTGTGTGTAGGAGAGGTGTGCACGCATGTGTAAGTGCTCACACGCGTCCAAACATGGTGGGAAGGGCCAGCGCCTTCCAGAGAGCAAAGAGCCAGGCTGGCGTGTTCTGGAAGCTGTGGTGGGGCAGGCCTCAGGGACCTGTGGCTGAAGGAATTAGGGCGGTTCTTGTCTTACTTGTACTTCTCCGTGTTTTCTCCAGCTCCTACCATGAATCGGTGGTGTGTTTTCACAATATACTTTAAATCCTTTCTCAAGCAGGGCCCGTGGACAAAGGCACCGGAGCTCCCTGGTAGCCTGTGCCTGGTACCGGGTGATGTGGGTTCCCCCCCTTTGTGCAACTTTCCCACAGCCTCCAAAAGCACGGGTCCCTTGGCTCCCGGGAAAGGAGCCCCGAGTGCGGCCCAGCAGGCTCCCCTTGGCCATGAGCTCCGTGACGATGTACACGGGGTCCCCCACGGATGCCATGGCACACAGCGTCATGATGTGCTTGTGCTGAAGCTTCTTCATGGCCTGGATCTCTGCCTGGAACGTGTGCTGGTGCAGAAGGTTGTCTGCGGGGTCAGGTGGCCTCGGTGGGTGCAGTCCCAGGCCCAGCCTTCCCCAGCGCCCCCCCAGCGGGGGGCCACGGGAAGGGGACGCTGGGCCCACCACTGCCCTCATCACACACTGGACACCATGAGTGCGACGCCTGCCCAAGCCCGATGCAAGGCAGAGCACCCCCACGTGTGCCCCCGTGAGCCCCTGATTTCTGAAGGGGGGTTAATGGGTTTAAAGGAGATTTGAGATGAATCTTCAAATTTCTAGTGGTCTATTTCTTTTACTGGTTTTCCATTTACCTTAAGAATTTAAAATTCCCTTTTGAAATAAATGCATTTAGGTGAAAACCTAGACATTGAAAGGAAAATGCCGCGGGAAGCTGTTGTAGACGCCACACACAGTGCACCCTGGGCAGGCACGTAGCACGCGGGACCCCACCCCCTGAGCAAGGCCAGGAGGGCCTGCTGGGTCCCTGGAGGGGGCCCACTCACCTCGAGCGATCACCTTAATGGCCACTCGGACCCGGTCCTTCCAGAACCCTTCGAAGACCTCCCCGAAGTACCCAGAGCCCAGCTTCCTGCGGAACCTGAACTCGTGCGGTCTCTCCCAGTCTGCCCAGTGCAGCGGGGGCTCAGGCTCAGGCTGCAGAGACAGGCGGGGGTGTGGGGCACCCAGCCCACCCTTCAGGAATTCCCCACTCTGACCCCACGACGGGCAGCCTCTGCTCTCTCCTCTGATGCAGGCAACCTCTTGCTGAGGTCCCGGGGTCCAGCACGCGGCCGGGCTTTCCCAGAGGCCACCGCCCCCTCGGCCGCCCTCTGCCATATCCTGCAGATGCCCTCACCGCCCTTGCAGGGACGAGCCTCTGTGCGGCTCGAGGGCGTTGCTGATGCTGTGATGTCGGCCACACAGACAAACCTCCCGGCCAGAGGGACGCAGGACTGGGCAGCAGCATAACAGACCCTTCCCTGTCCCAGGCGTGAGCACAGCCCCTGAGGAAGGCTGGTCCCAGCCCAGGCCACTTGCTCCCACGCCCGCATCTGGAGGACCGCAGTGTCAGAACAGCGAGAGTCCCTGCGGCCAGGTCTCCCCGAGGCCCCTTGAGCCAGCGAGCACCCTGGGACCCACACCCACCCCATGTGATGGGAGGAGTGGGAGCACGGTGGGGAGCAAGGGGGTGTGTGGCAGGCAGCTCTACCTTCCGGCAGGGCACAGTCAGCCGCAGCCCGTGGGACAGGCTCCTCCAGGAGCTCGGCCAGGCTGGGGAAGGACGCGGCCTCGCTGAGGTGCAGCCGGCCGGCGCGACGCCAGACCCTGTAATGCCTCACGGCCTGCCTGTCCCGCACTGCAGGGATGAGGGGGGAAGCCCGTGGGCTAGGGCACTCAGACAGCTGCTCGGGAGCCGGCAGTCCTGCCCCCTGGAGGGAAGGCCAGGGTGGGGAGGTAGGGGGGGTGGGGGTGTTTGCCAGACAGCGGGAGGAGGCCGGGCCAGGGGCCAGGAGGTCAAGTGCAGGTGGGGCCACAGAAGGGAAAAGATGCAGGAGGCCGTACCTGAGAGAGCGTAGTCGATGCCCGGCTTCTTGCTGACCCTGACCAGGAAGGCCCCCACCCACTGCCCTCAGCCTGCTGGCGATGCTGCGCTTCCAAGCAGGAGATGGGTCCAAAGAACCACCTGGGGGCGGGGCCAGTCCTAAGCCTGCGCTGACCTTCAGCCCATGCCCTCTGACCCACATCCTCTCACCCTGCCCACTCTGAATCCCAGCCCCCCTCACCTGACCAGCCACCTCCCCATGCCCCCAACCCTGACTCACAGCCCCCCTCTGATACGGTCCCTGGCCAGAGGCCACTTCATTGCCCATCAGAGACCCCAAATGCCCCAAGTGGCTGGTATGGACACCAGGAAAGGCCTCAGTGACCCAGGAGTGGTGCAGGCACCAGCCACCACCCTGCCCAACGCGTTCCCCGAGTGTAGGGTCAGAGCCACTCCTGTCCCAGAAACATACCTCCCATGCCATGAGTGGGACCACCTTGTCCTGTCACCCGGGCCACAGACACTCTGCTCTAGAACCTTAGGAACTGGGGTTCGGCGTCTGAATGGCAAGGCTCTACATGTGCACATTTACGCACGTGCCCACCCGTGCTCCCACACACCAGCACCACAGCTCAGATAAGCCTGGACAGCAGGGTGGGGCTGCCAGCTGCTCTGCCCTTGGTCCCTACTCGCTCAGGCATCGCTGCCACAGGAACCCCTCACCCTCCCCGGGTCCCCATGAGGGTCACGCCCCACCCTGGCCAACTTAGCATGTCTTGAATCTCATTTGCTCATTCCTCCAAGCACCCTGCCTCCTTCCTGCTTTTCAAAGGCACTAGGTTCTCAGGACCTCAGGGCCTTTGCACCAGCCATGCTCTGCATGTTCCCTGTCCCAGACCCCGCCTTCTGAAACCATGCTGTCTGTGACCACACCGCTTGTCTCCCCGCACGCATTTGCCACGTTACTCCTCCAGAGCTTGGGGTCACAGGGGCGCAGGCGGGCAGCGGAGTGTCTCCTGCCAGACCCTCCTGGCCCAGAGCTCAGGCGGCTGTGCACATGCTCACGCCAGGCTGCCCTCTGTGGTCCGAGCCTCCAGGCGCCTCCTTGCAGGGATGGGACAGCCTGCAGCCCACGCCCAGACGGGCATGTCGCAGTGACCCTCCTGCTTCCTCTAACTAGGTCATGCATCTGGTTTCGGCTGTTTGGAAGGTGAGTGATGCTTTGCTCCCCAAAAGGCCCAGTCCCTGCCTGGGCCTCCCTCACAGACCCCCTCCCTGTCGGCCACCCAGAAGCCCCCTGTGGGCCCCTCCTTCCCCTCTGGGTCCTGTCATCACAAAGTGACTGTGGCAGAGCCCAGGGGCAGGGGCCACATGCCTCTGCAGCTCCGTATCATGTCACCCTGCTGGTGCCTAGTCAGCTTCAGGGGACCAGGATGGTGGGGTCCAGCCCCAGCCAGGGGGCACGGGGAGGTGGGGTCACGGGCCCCCTGTCCTCACTGGCCTCCTGGAGGCTGGCCCAGCACCCCGCCCCCCCCCCAGCGCCCAGCCGCAGTGGCACAAAGCTCTGTCTGGAGGGCTGCCCTGCCCTGAGCTCTTGAGGGGCTGCAGGGGGCCGGGGGGCACCTTGAGGGGACCCACAAGGGCCACGGGGACACTCACGGCTCAGACTCTACCGTCTCCTTCTCGGCCAGGTAGTTGTGGAGCGCGTAGCCCTCGGTCAGCAGCCTGCCCACCTCATCCAGCGGCGTGGCCCACCTCCGCTCCTCCTCCTTCCCGGCCACGTGGAACAGAGCCCTCGCCCGGAAGGTCAGCTCCTCATCCCTCTGGGCCTCCGAGTCCCAGAGGCCACATACTGGGGACCCGGGGGAGCCTGGCCCCAGGACGCCATGGCGGGTGCATGGCAGGACCGGCCTCCTGGCCTCACAGCCGGTTCCTGAGCGGCCCACAGCACCCCTTGTGGGTGGGAGCCGTGGGCCGGTGGGGCGGACCCTGACAGGCGGTCCCCACCCAGCCGAGGAGCCGGCCCACGTCTAGTGAGGAGAGGCCCTGCCAGGCCAGCCACACCTGCACCTGCCGGGGCTCCCTCCCTGGGCTGCCCAAACTCCCAGGGCTCCCCCCGACCCTCCGACCTACTGAGGCCAGGGCCACCTGGGAACTGCTCTTGCCCACCTGCTCCAGGATGTGTGCCCACCACGTGGGGGAGGGGAGGACTGAGTAAGCCGTCAGAGAGGGCCCTCCTGGGGTCCACTTTAGCGGTGGGGGCTCAGGGATGAGTGGAACCGAGGTGGGAGGGGGAGACGAGGGATTGAGGCCTGTGGGTAAGTCACCCCTGCCCAACACTCCGGGGCCTCTGGGACGGTGCCGGACGGAGGGCCAGCGAGCTCACAGGGTCGTGGCTGGAGGCCCAGGGGGCTGCTGCCTTCCTCTCCGTACTCTGGAGGCTGTCAGCCATGGTCGAGACCACCAACCACTGAGGGGAGCTGGGGTGGCCACACCTGTCCTAGATGTTGGCCTCCAGGGGACAGTAAAGGGCAGAGAGGTGCTGGGAATAGGGAGCCCACACGGGGGCGTGGGCTGGGGGACAGCAGGGGCCACAGCAGAGAAGAAAGAGCCCTGCGGCGAGATGGGGACCAGGGCATAGAGAGGGCTCGGGGTGAGCGCCTTTGGTCCTCGGCTGCCCGGGGTGAGCGCCTTTGGTCCTCGGCTGCCCGTCTGAGGGGCTGTGGGGACTCTGGCCCATGACGGGAGCTCCAGGAGGACGATGACCAGGGGAATCCTGTACTAAGCCTGACTTAAGCACCACTCACTCCATTTTGAGATCGAGAGGAATGTGTATTACAAGCAAGCGGGTGATCATCCTGGCGCCGCTTTCATTGACGACGAGGGTGGGGAAGGGGCCAGGGAGCAAAGCACGGGGCAGGCTGGGGGCGGGGGCTCCATGGCGCCTGGGCTTCGTGTCCAGCCCTCATTGCTGGGCAGCATGCTCCGGTCACCCCCGCCCTCAGACCCGGTCGTGAGCTCATGCCCAGGGCCTTGGTGTGTCTCTCGGGGCAGACGTCCAGGGCTCTGCCAGGGCAACACGGGGAAGCGGGACAGTATTGACACAGAAAGTCCCCTGCCGCTCCTGGAGGCCCAGGCACCAAACCTGTTGGGCCTGTGGCTAACAGACATGCCAGGAGGGCACCACTGACCACCATGAACACCGCCTCTGGTCCCAAGCCCAGCACACCCCTTCCCTCAGGCCCGCGTCACACTCGCCTGCTGCTGTGTCGGGGGATGGGCGGGAGGGGGGACGTCCAGCTCCATCCCTCACCAGGAGGCCCCTCAGCCCTCTCAGGGCAGGAGGGTTTGGTCCAGGCTGCCAGCCAAACCCTTCTGCTCCCACCAGCCCCGCCCACGCTGGCACCTGAGGCTCAGCCCTGACCGAGGCTGGTCTGGCCTCAAGTGGCTCGTGCCCACCTCCTCCCTCTGTGTTGCCCTCACCCGTGGTGACCTCGGCACCCTCTCCTTCTCCTCCAGGAAGCCCCCCACCACTCCAGCCCTTCACAGCCTCTGTGCCCACCTTGGAGTCCCAGCTCCCCCCTGTGCCAGCCCCTGGGCAGGGCTGGAGGGGCTAAGGGGGAAGGGAGGGGCTAATGGGCCTCACAGTGCAGAGCTGACCCTAGACGGTGCATAGAGGCCTGTTCCCTCCAGGGGACAAGAAGCTTGGCATGCCTCTGCCCTTCCATCCCACAAGCCTTCCGGGGGCACAGCTGCCACCAGGGGGTCACAGGACGGTGGGGGATGAGGACCCTGAACACAGACCACACCTGCCTGGTCCCCATGCCCCTCGGGTCCCTCTCGTGGTGACTGGAGCTGGCTGGGTGAGTGAGAACAGGCGTGTCCCACCCAGCTCCTCACTCAGTGACGCCAACGGTGGCTTGAAATCAGCCCGAGCAGGAGCAGGCATGTTGACCCAACACCATGGGATCCAGCCCCACCCCTGTCTGACCCCGGGCGAGCACCCGGGACCCAGAACCCCTGACCTTCACCCCACCCCCAGAGAAGGATCTCGAGTCTCCCAGCTCCAGGAATGACCATGCAGCCTGCCCTGCCCGTGGCCTGACCCAGGCTTCCCCAATTTCAATCCCAGCCCCAGGGAGATGGAGTGGGCTGCTTGGTCCTGCAGGGGTCCTGCTCCCTGGGGCATCAGAGTGCCCTGGGGTGGGGCCCTGGGCCACATGGGGGCCAGCTCTGTTTCCAGGGACCAGCTGGTAGACCTCCCCATCCGCTCCAGCTGCTGTTCCGGGTCTGGGCGCCGAGGCCCTTGCACGATGCAGGTCTGAGTCCGTCGCCGCACATTTTCCGAGCACTCAGGTCTGCACGCAGCCAGCAGGTGTGCCCAGCCTGTGCCGCCTCGGCCCCATGCCGCCTCGGCCTGGGAGCCCAGCGTCGGCCATGGGGAACTTTGCCAAAAACTGGGGAGCCTCTGGCTGTTGGCCCCGGGAGGAGTCGGGCTGCCCGGGGCAGCAGGGGTGGGCGGGGGGCCGTGGCCCAGGCTCAGGTCTTCTCTGTCCAGCAAATATCCATGGCTGGACAACATTCAGGCACCACCCCAACTGCTGTGCTGAGACCTCCCCTCGCCAGGGACACCAGGTCCCGTGGAGCAGAGGACACCAGCCCTCCCATCTGAGGGGACATCTTCCACACACACGTGTGCCAGTCCATGCGTCTGTCAGGGTGTGAGGACCACAGCCAGAGGCTGCTCCAGGCCGCCGGCGCCCCTGGATGTGTCGATGGCCAGCATTGTCCTGGGGGGACACGCCAGGCAGGGAGGCGTGGCCCCAGCCCCCGTGTCCAGCGTCCCAGGTCACGTGTGGGCAGGGGCAAGGCGCCTGTGGGTGGCACTCAGCTTCTCCTGCAGCGTAGCAAAGGCTGGCCGCTCCTCAGGGCTGCCCTTCCAGCACTCCAGCATGAGCGTGTAGACCTCCACAGGGCAGGGGGCCGGGCGTGGCAGCCGGTACCCTCGCGTGACCTGCCGCAGGGTCTCGTGGTTGCTCAGTCCTGCAGAGGGGCCACAAGAAGGGCTGGGCAGGGCTGCCTTGCCTCTGCGCAGGGTCACAGTGCACACCTCCCCCTAGCTCCTGGCCAGACCTGGCCCAGCAGGTGGCCTGGAGGCATGGTGCCCCTTCTGGAATCGGGGACTCCCCGGGGCAGGCTGCGCCTCCTCCCTCAGACTACATAGGCCTTGTTGAGACCTTGCCTCCTCCCTCAGGCTCCCTTGCAGCCCACCTTCATAGGGACACTGGCCATAGGTGAAAACCTCATAGAGCAGAACTCCAAAAGACCAGACGTCCGACTTCTGCGAGTAGATGCGATAGTTGGCCGCCTCGGGCGCCGTCCACTTGACGGGGATCTTGGAACTGCTGCTTGGGGAGTAGATGTCGTCCTGGGTGTGGGGAGACCAGGGTGGGTGGGCCGAGTGGCTCCCTCCCCTCTGAGCCACGGCGTGGTTGGGGGCCCCAGCCCGAACCGACCTTGAGCAGCCGGGCCAGGCCAAAGTCAGCCACCTTGCATGCCAGGTCGTCACCAACGAGCACGTTCCTGGCCGCCAGGTCACGGTGTACGATGCGTCGACCCTCCAGGTAGCTCATGCCCTCGGCCACCTGGCAGGCAAAGCTCAGCAGGAGAGGCAGGCCCAGGGCCCGTCCCTCGGGGCCTGTGGGGCAAGGCGGACGGTCAGGGGGGCAGGGTCTGCACTGTCACCTCCCCCCATGCCTCAGTGTCCTCACCCTCAGATGGGGTGAGAGCAGTGCCCCCAGCCCAGGCCACGCAGCGGGAAGGGGCCATGCTGTGCAGTGACTGCTCCTGGGCCCCCAGAGAGACCAGAGCCGGGGAGGGGCACAGGAATGGGGATGGGGACACCGATGCACCCAAGCCCACTGCTCACGGCTCCACCCGGAGCACAAGGCTCTGACTGCGCCCCGGGGCCCGAACCCATGGGCCAGAGCCCACCACACCCCTCTGAGCCTCGGACGGTCGAGCCTGGTGCAGCCTCGAAGGGTCACAGCTGTGCACGGAAGCCTGGGCCCCCCGGACAGTCACCAGCGGGGGGGCGGGGAGCCAGCCACTCACTCCCCAGGAAGGCCTGCAGGCTGCCCTTGCGCATGAGCTCCGTGACGATGTACACGGGCCGGCCTGCCGAGCACACGGCGTGCAGCTGGATGAGACGCTCGTGCCTCAGGCTCTTGAGGGTCTGGATCTCCTTGCTGAGGTCCGCGAGCTTCATGTAGGCTGCGGAGAGGGCACGGCTTCAGGACCCACCCACACCACCCTGTGGCTGCCCCAGGGCTCCAGGGGTCCAAGGGCAGGGCGGGCAGGGGCCAGCAGGCCTCACCCACCTGACTTGATGACCTTGACGGCCACTGGTGTGGAGCCAAGCCACAGGCCTTCCCACACCTCCCCAAAGTAGCCTTCACCCAGCTTCCTCCGCAGGGCAAACTCGGAGTGAGGCCGCTCCCACTCGTCCTGCTGGGGGGTTTTCTGAGGGGGTGGGGGACACTCCGGGCCTCTGCCTGCTGCTCCCTGGAAAGGGGGCGGCGGTGTCTCCCAGAGCGCCAGGCCTCCAGCCCCTCTGCCTGGCCAAGGCCAGGGCAGCCAGGTGTGGACCTCCTGAAGCCTGGCCCTAAGTGGCACCTTTGCTGGGGGTGGACACCCACCCACGAATAGTCATTACCACCGGGCCAGGCTGTCATTAGCAACCGGAGCAACTGGATTGCTGCCTGGCCCCCGGCAGGATGGCTGGGCCCTGAGAGCCGGGGTGCCGCTGCCCGAGCCAGGGCACACGGCCCAGCGAGCGTCCCCTCCTACAGCTTCTGCCTGGGGCCTGCGGCTGCTGCGAGCACCCTC